GAAGAAAGAAGAAGGAAAAGAGATAACACCCTAAATCTTCCAGCTTGCCTTCTGCTCTCTAAACTAGCTTAAACTCTAAACTCTAACTTTTTCACCCAGTGACTTAAGGAAACTCTCCAATCTACACACATTTTTAGCTTTTCTAACTTCAACAGCTGTTTTTATGTATCACCATGAAAACATGGCCATAAATTTCATGTTGTATGAAATCCAGTGTTCTCCTGGATCTCAGAGCCAGACAAGGGCTCTCACTCTGTGTCTCAGACTCCAACAGGGATGAGCGTGGTTGCTCCTGACAACAAAGGGCACAGTGTTTCCCCTGAAAGTGTATTTAGCCCCAGGCAAAATTACACCTTTTCCATGGGGTATGCAGGGGAAAAGATGATCATTTGAGGCTTTCTGCAGTGATTCACGTTATTAAGCAAGTCTTGAGTTATTAGGATGGTAAGAGAGCAGTCTCCAAGGCTGCAGATTACTGTCCATGAGAATTGAGCTGGACTTGAAATTTCCTTCCTTAATGCAGCTGAAGAATGAATTTGATGAATCTGCCATGTGTGCTGGTGGGTGGAAGTTATTATTAAAATAAAAACCAAACAGGCTGCCCTTAATTCTTGGGTGAGATAAGATCAACATGCCCTCAATTTAGGAAAACAATTCTATTCAGTGTAGAAAACAACCAAAAGTAACACTGAAAAGAAAAAATATTTATAGGGAGGTTTGCTGTGGGCTGGTATTGCTGAAGGTCTTGGGGCAGGTGGAGGTCTTTAAACTTTTTAAATTTGATTTGTTCCTGCAAAATGATGTCTTGCAAGACAGAAGACATATGTTAAACTTTATTCAGCGATTTAACACTCTTCAGTTCATCTCCAGCAATTATCCCAAAAGGACTTTGCATTTCATGACTTACCTGTTTGAATTCTGCCCTGAGTAATGAGTATCTTCTTTCTGGAGATGAAATCCAGGCACCTGAGGGAAAGAGCTTCCAGGCAGGACTCATGCAGTTCAGGGCTGGGCATTCCCTGCACAGTAGCTGCCACTTTTGAAACAATCCCAGAAGCATCCTCAGCAGGGAGGTGAGACTCCAAAAAAGGGTAGGAAATCAAATTACAGCATCTGAAATAGTCTGTGCTCATACCTCTTACACTCTGAGTTCTACAAATGGAGGCTGGGCTCGAAAGCTTCCCTCAGAAACTGAATTTCCCTCAGAAATTACAGCAGAAAGTACCACTGGTTGTTATAATAAAGTAAGAGAACAGAAAATTATGGCCACAGCTTCAAGGCAGATCTCAGGGGACAAACCCATGACTTGCCAGAAAAAAATTCATTTTCCTTTTCCAAAAAATCCTTCTGTTCTCTTTTTCCTCCACCAGCCTAGCTTTGGTGATACTTCCACAGCACTGGAAATCCTAATACTTCATGAACCTAAAGCTAGTTTAGAGTTTAAGCTAGTTTAGAGAGCAGAAGAAAGAATGGAAGATTTAGGGTGTTGTCTCTTTTCCTTCTTCTTCCTTCTTAATTTTCTTCTTCTAGAGGTTTTTGGGTAGCAGGAGGTGATTGGATAGAAAATGTCACAGTGCAGCACACAGGTGATGGGTCATTGGGTCATTAAGAAAAATAATCTATGTGTCTATTGTTAATTGAATAAGAATAACTATAAAGATAAAAAGGCTGCACAGTTCAGGGCCATTTTGTGCCTGCAAGGCCAAAGTGAGCCAAAAAGGGCAGGATGAATTGAACTTGAGCAAAAAGTCTGCCAAGTTTTGTGATAACATCCTAATAAACATGAGAAACAAGATCCTGACGAGCTTTGGGGTTTTCTTCTGACCTGGAGAACTGAGATAAATGGAACTCCCTGTGAAGGAATATTCCAAAAGAGCTCAGCCCAGAAAGGACTGAGAAATCCAGGTGTGAGAAGAAGTACAGAAGCAGAATCAAGAGAAAAACAGATTAAAAAAGTTACAGTGATATTGCTGAGGAGCAGTGCAAGGTGTTGGTGTTTATCTTTCTTGTTCTTGAGAGAGAGTGAGGTTAGTGATGAATAAAAAAGGATCTTACCAAATCTAAAATCTAAAATAGAATCTTACTAAATGACACTAAATAATAGCACAACATTGGAATAAATGGAAGTAAATTAACAGAATAAATGTCCTAAAGCATAAGCCTATAGGTTTAAAAAAATGCTTGAAATTACAGACAGTAAAATAAGACCCAAGAGGCATGGTTAAGAATTTGGTTGTATAACTCTTTCAATGAAGGATGTTTTTGTGCACATTACCATCCATTCCTGCCATCTTTAACAGAAACAGGAGGCTAAAGCCTTGGTACAGGTCATCTGTTTTGATTTTGACGGGAAAAATTCTGTGTTTTCATTTTGCCCAAAAGAAATCTGCAATATTTTCACACTGTTTCAGTGCTGAGAGGTACAAGTTAATCTATTAAAGATTATAATTTTATATGGGCCTGATATATTCTGATGCCAGCAGAATTCCCTCACAAGCTGGTGTCACGGTGTGGCTCCTGTGTGACTCACAATGGATTAGCCCATGAGATTTATTCATCTTTTCTCTCCTAGCAGTTTTAATTCGGTGTCAAAAGACATAATTCTTTTAAAGACTTACAATTCTGATGGTCAAAAGCCAAAAGCACTGACTTGCACTGCAGGAGGGTGTGTTTGCTTCTACAAGAGGTGCTTCTAAAGAATAACTTCAGTTGCTTTTATGCCAAAGAGTCCCTGTGTCCTCTTCCAAAACCCCTTCATGTTGACTGCATGAGGTAGTGTTTATGCCAAATGTTCTCCCAGGTGTTTGCAAAGCTTTTCCTGGTGTTTGCACTGAAATTTTTCACCTAAAACCAGTTTGGGGCTCCATTTGATGCTTTTTGTGGAGACATCCATTTTCACAGAGTCCTAGGGATGGAAAGGGCCTTAAAGCCCCTCCAGCTCCACCCCTTGCCATGGGCAGGGACACCTTCCACTATCCCAGGCTGCTCCAAGCATGTTTTAATGTTTTCTACTCCAAGCCACATCCATCCTGGCCTTGGACACTTCCAGGGGCAGTCACAGCTTCCCTGTGCCAGGCCTGGGTCCAGAGACCTTGGGAGGCAGCTTGTGTGGGGACAGGTATCTGTGAGCTCCTCAAGGTACCTGTGAGCTCCTCAAGGTACCTGTGAGCTCCTCAAGGTACCTGTGAGCTCCTCAGGGTACCTGTGAGCTCCTCAAGGTACCTGTGAGCTCCTCAGGGTATCTGTGAGCTCCTCAGGTACCTGTGAGCTCCTCAAGGTACCTGTGAGCTCCTCAAGGTACCTGTGAGCTCCTCAGGGTACCTGTGAGCTCCTCAAGGTACCTGTGAGCTCCTCAAGGTACCTGGGAGCTCCTCAAGGTACCTGTGAGCTCCTCAAGGTACCTCTGAGCTCCTCAAGGTACCTGTGAGCTCCTCAAGGTACCTGTGAGCTCCTCAAGGTGCCTGTGAGCTCCTCAAGGTACCTGTGAGCTCCTCAAGGTACCTGTGAGCTCCTCAGGTACCTCTGAGCTCCTCAGGTACCTGTGAGCTCCTCAGGTACCTGGGAGCTCCTCAGGTACCTGTGAGCTCCTCAGGGTACCTGTGAGCTCCTCAGGGTATCTGTGAGCTCCTCAGGGTATCTGTGAGCTCCTCAGGGTATCTGGGAGCTCCTCAGGTACCTGTGAGCTCCTCAGGGTATCTGTGAGCTCCTCAAGGTACCTGTGAGCTCCTCAGGGTACCTGTGAGCTCCTCAAGGTACCTGTGAGCTCCTCAGGGTATCTGTGAGCTCCTCAAGGTACCTGTGAGCTCCTCAGTTACCTGTGAGCTCCTCAGGTACCTGGGAGCTCCTCAGGCTGTGAAGGGATAATAAAATCCGGCCCATGGCACTGAGTAATCTGGTTATTTTAATCACTACATGTGACTCTCTGAATTATCATCTGTATTATGGGATAATATGAGCTCTTTGGTATTCAGCAATGACTTTTTAAAAAATTATCATATATATTATACAGAGCTAATATATTAAGAGATACCTTAAAGGCAATTGTCAAGTGTGTGATTTCATCTCTAAGTTCTAATAATGGTGGTTAATGTCATAAATGCCTTTTAATGAAATTATAGGCTTGTAACCCTGCCCAACTATCCTTTGTGTGTCATATAATTAATAAGACCAAGCTTTGGTGTTGATCTCAGTGTCACAAAGCATAGTGCAAATTTCCATACTGATGGTAGATGGTTAGTCTCCCATCAGAATAAGAATAAGGTTAAGGCCAGGCAGTTTGAGTATATGTTACCTTATCTCTAAAGGCAGCTGGATGGGCTTGTTAACAGAATATACTTCTAACAGAATATATATGCTCATAAAAAAAAGGGGCCATTGATCTAATGCCTTATTATAATACTACAGGCAATATTTTAAGGGAGTGAGGAGGTGAGGGAGTTGCAGCACTTGGAATAAAGAATTGTTTTCCTTCTAATCCACTGAGGATAGTGAAAATTTGTGAGCAGCTAAAAAGCATTTGAAGATGGACAAGAATCTTTATCTTGAATTAAAGACACTTGTCTGGAACATAACGGAGCTGGGATTGTTTCCCAGTGTGGTCTAATTTCTGGGGGGGCTTTGGCTAAATTGATTATTTTTTATGGTCATTAGATTTCCTGTCTGAAGAACAAGGGCCGTAATATTTCTTCTCTTTGTCTCACATTTCCTGATTTTAAGCTTGCTGAAGCAAAAGAGTTATCTGTATGTTATTTTGTGGTGGTTTTTTTCCCCCCTTTGGTAATTGAATCTTACAGAACCATTCATACTGGACTAACTCAAGGTCACCTAATCCTGCCTCCTGCTCAGAGCAAGAGCAATGTTGAACTCCTGCCCTCTAGACACTTTTCTCATTGTGAATACTCATAACTGGACCAGCCACTTTACATGCCACCAGTGAAAGTTAGCTCTCAAAAAAACATATAGGGCTTATAGGCATTATTGTACTGTTCTTGTTCCTTCAGGGAATGATGTACCTGGAAGAGAGGAGACTCGTCCACCGGGACTTGGCAGCCCGTAATGTCCTGGTGAAATCACCAAACCACGTGAAAATCACTGACTTTGGCTTGGCCAGGCTTCTGGAAGGGGATGAAAAGGAGTATAATGCTGATGGGGGAAAGGTGAGTGCTGGACATGTCTGTGACAAACCTCCTGGAGCTACTCCTCACACCAGTGTGTCCCTCTGGGACTAAGAGAGTCTGTCAGTGCCTCGCAGAAGAACTCTGTTGTGAAAGCACACACAAAAGATCCTCATTTTTTGCACAGGGAGCTCCTCCAGGCCCTGAAATATAATTGCACCAGCAGTTTTCACACTCAGAATTAGGTTTTATTCATGTGCTTCTCTTTGAGTCTTGTTTTGAATACTTCAATGAGTGATGGATGTTCTGGGGCATTCCTGCCCAGCCTCTTTCTCTGGACAGTACTCACCTCAATAACCCATTAATTTTGAAACCAGCCATTTCCCCCTATTACTTTCCAGCTAACCACACCACAGCCATGTAGTGCCTTACCTCATTTCTTCCAGCTTCAGATTAATGCACGATAAAATTCAGAAGGCAGTAAGTACATGGTGCTTCTGGGTGCTCCCTAAACATCTTGAAACTCCCCATTTCAATCTGTCACAGGATCCCAAAGGACTTGCTTTGCCTGTCATTCCTTTTCCTGGATGTTCAGTTTGCTATCTGTGGATTTTTGTGCTCACTGGTGCCCTTGTCTGGGACAAACAGTTTGATGGAAAGCTGTTGCCAGTGTGTGCTGCTCTCCAGGATGAGCTGCTGCCCTTGGGTCACCTGTGCAGAGTCAGGGAGGTGAAGAGCTTGAGAGGGGAGCCACCAGTGCTTTCCCATTTCCCCATGGAAATAAAGATGCCTCCTGGCAGGGAAGGTGGGGTTTTGGCAGCTTTCCCTGGTTCTTTCATTTCTGTAATCCTCGGTAAACCCTCAGCCTCCTCCCTCCATCTGACAGTGAATGACAGAAAAAGAGTAGATCCTTGCAAACCAGCTGTCCCCTGGCAGCTGTGGCTTGGACTTGTCACCCTGCTGAGAGCTCTAGAGCAGGATTTATGTCAGATGTACCACTTCCCAGGTCCAGAAAAGCATCCTGTGAAATCCAAAGGACATTGGCAGCATCAGCTTGTGTTGGGAGCATGCTAAGGGAGGTTCAGACCAAACAATCAAGTGGTTATCAACAGAGGTGGAGCAGTTTCCATCCTTGAAGGTTCTCAAGTCCAGACTGGACAAATCTCTGAGTAACTTGGCCTAATCTCCCAGGCAGCTGAACCTGCTGTGAACCTGAGGTGGGACTGGAGGCCTCCTGAGTCACTTCCAACCTGAATTATCCCATAATGAACAAGGCAGCTCTGCTCCTTCAGCAGCTGTTCACACCTGGGACACAGTGGCAATGGAAGCAGTGCACCTCTGCAGAGTTTAGTGGGGGAGGATGAACTGTCTTTGCAAGAGTTAAGGCAGCCTTTATTACAAGGTGCTATTTTTGCCATAACTCTATAGGTTGTGCTCATTAGTGAACTTCATGGAAGGTAGTTTCATAAGGCTTTGAATGAAGACACATCCTCTGCTTTCACACCCACCATCTCTTCAGATTTTGCCTGCAGTTACTCATCCCTTTGGTTTATTCCAGTGCCTCTTCCATAGTTCCAAGCTGGAGGCAACCCATACAAGTCCCTGCCAGGTAAAAATCTCCTGTTTGTTCACCAGAAATTCATCAGACTGCCAGGCTGTCCCTGCCAGGCCCAGCTCAGGAATGGGAAACACCATGAATCCCATGTGAACACAAAGTGGAGAGGGTTTAGTTTGCCTGCACACCCTTCTCTGTCAGAAGAACAGGGTGATCCACTGCCACGGGAACCTGGGGCTGCTGCCTTAGTCTGGGGAGTAATTTTGTCATTGCAGTGATGATACAGAGAACTGGGGTGGCTACACCTCTAACAAACATCAGGAGTTTACAATAAAGCACTGCAAATCCTCCTCATTGCCTGTTCACCATGATGATGATGGTGGTGGTGAAGTGTTATGGTCACTGCATTTGTAACCTGGCCTCATGAGAGAACAGCTGAGACAGCAGTGTTGCTATTTCAGATCCCAGAGATTGCAAACTGTTAAGGAAAAAAAAAAAAAGCTTCTGCATTCCATCTTCTCTGCTGCTCTTCAGATTCAGGGGAATTGTATGAAATTTTTGCACCTGTCCCTCTTTACACAGGTTTGATGAAAAGGAGTTGTTCCACAACTTCTGAATCAGTAAATATCAGAAGGTGTGCAGGTAACTGCTTTGTCTTTCTCACCTCCAAGTTTTAGGAGGCACAGCCCCATTCAAGAGGGAAGGAAAAGCCATTTCCTCTGGGGGATAGTGCTGCTTTTTTTTTCCAAGCTCACCCTTGAAGGAGGCAGGGAGGAAGTTGTTGTCTTCTTAGAGGATCTGTTTGTATTGTTTTAATAATGTATTTCTAAGGTTGCATTTCTCTTGTCCTTCCCTAGATGCCAATTAAGTGGATGGCTCTGGAGTGCATACACTACAGGAAATTTACCCATCAGAGTGACGTGTGGAGCTATGGTAAATCTTCACCTGATCAGTTTAGAAAGTTGTGTCTTTTACAGCATTAAACCAAGTATGTTAAAGCTATCCTCTTTTCTCAAAGGAGTTAATTCCAGAGGCGTTTGCTCTTCAGGTTTTGGTTCTTTTTTGTTATTTTAAATGTGTAACTCTAAGCAGGAATTGTTCCTGTCTCCTGTGTTACTTCCCTGCTCACTGAAATATATTATCATGATGTTCCCTGCTGGGGTGAGTGCCTCCAGGTCTGGTCTGGTAGCAGTTTGGCTGATTATTATGACAGAAGAAGACCTCTTTCAGCTTAGCCACAGATTCATAAAAATACAGCTGCAGGTCACAATTTTCAGCAGTCTTTGAAAAGCTCAACTCTAAAAGCCATGAATGTCAAAAAACATTTTCAGGCTTATGGGACTTTCTCTACCTAGAGTCAGATAAAAGGGAATTTGTCATAATACAGAGCATAAATGGCAAGAGAAAAAAAAAGAAAAAAAAGGAAGAGACAAGCTCTCCAAACTAACTAGAACAAGCATCTATTTAATTTCACAGATAACTTGGGAATTGGTGAGCTACACACACAAAGTCATATTTGAGAAATGAGGTGTTTGTTCAGTGTTGCTAATGGCTCTTCAGATGAGCTGTTTGCCACATCTGCTGAGGTCTCTGCCTGTTTATCTGCTATAACTATTACTAATAAAATCATGTATACCTTTGTCAATGGAAATTTGCAGCAGTGTCTGGGGCTATGGAGCCCTGTTTGCATTTCCTTTTGCCATATCATTTTGAACCAAAAGGGTGTACAGCTCTATTCATTACTCACTTTTACCTGTGGGTAGCAGCAAAAGACACTGTTTGCTGTGGCTGGGTAGCTGCCCTCTTCTAGCCAGCTGAAAAAAAGCCTGGGAGAGTTCAAGTGATCTTATAAAGCTGCTCTTTCTCTTCAAATTGTGTATACCCTGGATCACTCAGGGAAAAAAAATAAATATGCCTTCATTTATGAAATTAATTTTAAACGCAGGAAGCCCAGAATATCTATAATCAGAGAGTAAAGGACCATAAAAAATTAACAAGGAGATAAATGAGGGTGGAATAAATGTGATTTACTCATGTGGTGATTTTGCCCATCACTTTTCACATTAGAATGACAGTTGTCAAAATATGGTGCCGATCTGAGGAGTGCTTAAAATGACCTTTGCAACTCAAATAAAAGTTAAACAAAATGGTGTGAGACCATTTGGTTTTTCAATATTTAAGATTTTCAATATTTAAGATTTCAATATTTTCAATATTTAAGATTCTGTCTGGGCACAAATTATTTTACTTATGATATATGATCTTTATTTCCAGCTCTGAAACCAAAACGAATCCTATGGCTTTTCAAAAAGAGAATTTTGGGTTTGTAGTACAGCACCACTGTAAACTCAGATCCATAAGATGATTTAGGGGAAAAAAAATGATAGCAGTGGCTGTGAATGACTTAAAAAGAAAAGCCAGTGACCTGATGTTACTCAGTGCTGTACCTTTGTGGAAAATTGATGCTCTAAGTTGGAGAACATCTGTGCTTTTTCCCCTTAAAATAATAGAGCAGATCAGGCACTCATTTCCCTTTTTGATAAAAGAGCGTGATGCCTTCTTTTGTTATTGCACCCAATTTACTTTACCAGCCTTCATTTGTCTCTCTTGTGTAACTCAGGTCTATCATGCCATTTCTTACACCAATGAAAATCAGGGAAGCTGCTTTTCAAGATTACCACAAAGTGCTGTTTCACCATTTCCCACAGTTTTTAAGTGGCAGATCGTCATGGTTTAAGCACAGATGGCAGCTAAGCACCGTGCAGCCACTGGCTCAACTCCTCCTGTCCCTCTAGTCCAAATTTCTCCAGGCACTGGTGAAGAAGAAGGGATTGCAGCCCAGAACTGGTCCAGAATACTCTGCTGTGAGAGATTGTGAGGGGATCTGAGTAGCGTGACCTCAAGCACTGACGCTCTTTCTTCTGCCTAGGAGTCACCATCTGGGAGCTGATGACCTTTGGTGGGAAGCCATACGATGGAATCCCAACTCGAGAGATCCCTGACCTCTTGGAGAAGGGAGAGAGGCTGCCCCAGCCCCCAATCTGCACTATTGATGTTTATATGGTGATGGTGAAGTGTAAGGAATTGCCACTTTTGCTACCCTTATGCTCGCTTCCAGAGGGACACTGGTTTAGGACATTTGCTTGGGTAGTCTCTGACAGAGCTGGGAAACAGAGCAAGCTGCAAAACAAAAGCTTCCCAACATCCTGTAAATTCCATTTAAATACTGTCTGCACATCTTTTGCAATTTTGCAATCGTTAGCCATGAAGGGCCCGGTTAGCTCAGCTTCTTATTACTGTCAGATGTTATCTCATGTATTTGCTGTGAAGTCAAAATTGTTATTGTAAACCCCTGTCATTTCCATGACAATTGATTCTGATGTAAAAAAGATAGTATTAATCATAATTATGGCACATGGATACCCTGCCAGAGAAGGCTGTGAGGAGAAATCCCGTTTCCAAATACTGAGGAAAGAAATCACGAATGTTTTATTGTTAGTAGCAAGGATGATGATTGCAATAGTAATAATAAAAAGTAAAATTAATAGAAGAAAAGCTACAGAGAGGATTATTTTTTTATCATTCTAAGTCCACTACAAAAATTTATGAATATTTTTACTCTAGTAAAAAAGGAAAAAAGTCTTCGCACGGTTTCGTCCAACTTTTTTATCTCCAAGATACCCCCTCTAATGACAGTATCCTCCAAGGTTATGCTTCTAATTTAAAAAGAATTAGAAATATCTCTCTGATATTTCTGGCTTAATTTAAGTGAGATTAACATACAGACATCTCATCCATCATATATACTCCTTTCCCTTTTGCTTTGTACACAGAAGCCCTGAAAAAAAAAGAGCAGGAAGGACAGCTAGAAGTAAATTAAGTATCTTCTGAAAGCAGTTGTAGTGTGCATGGAGGTGTGGAAATTAAATCATGCAAGGGCTTGGCTGAGTGCAAAAATGTCCCATCTGGTGAGACACATCCTTAATAAAAGTCAGTCAGTGCTGATATTTAAGTGTGCAAGATGGAGAAAATTACAAGGTGGTGTTGTGGTCTCCAGGACAGAGAGGAGCCCAGCAAATTAAGAAAAATTCCATGCAGTAAGGAACAATCTAGTCTGGCCAAAACCAGGTGTTCCCTGTTTTATGCATCATAGAATTCTAACTTTCCACTCTTCTGGGATCTTTATTGTGACTTTTCTTCAGGCCAGGGCGATCAAGCACTTCAAACTCGTGCATTTAAAAAATGATTCCCACCCTTGACACTGAACTGTTTTCTTTCCCATCTTTCATCCAGGCTGGATGATTGATGCTGACAGTCGGCCAAAATTCAAGGAGCTGGCTGCTGAATTCTCTAGAATGGCTCGAGACCCCCAGAGATACCTGGTAATTCAGGTAAGCAACACAGGGGTGGGGAAAAGAATTCTGTCTGTGACACCCAACCATTAGGGGTGTTGCCTTTGAATCTTTTGAGGTTCAAGGTGCTCTTGAACCTAAAGCAAACAGTGACCACAGTGTGTAGAATGGACAGTGTCAGTATCTCAAAAATAAGAATATTAGTAACACAGCAATCTGAAATTCATTTCCTGAGCTCGTGTTTATGAGTCTCTGGCTTTGTAAGCTGCTCAGTGCTCTGCATTCCCTCATGAAACCAGGGACAAATTCTGTCCATTGGCAGACACTGGATCTATCTTTACACCAAGGGCTTCCTTGGTTCTAAAATTGGTTAGGCTGAGTCTTTTCCCTGCGCTGCTGAGATCACAAGCAGGATTCTTTTCACTGCCTAAACATGAAAGTTGCTTAGAAGACAGGGAGTTGTGTCACACTGGTACCTCTAATGCTAGGGAGGAGCTCCCCTCTCTGTTCTCCTTACACTCTGAGGGCTCTGGAGGCTTCACATCCCTGGGACAGGATTGTGAGGAGTTCATCCTTCATGGGTTTATCCCACGAATCTGCCCCGTGGCAGCAGGGTGACATCTGGCAAGTACAGGTGCTTGGGGCTGTGTGTGCCTGAGTACAATTTCTAATTTAAAAATATTAAAATTAAAAATTGTGCCTGAGTACAATTTGTAATTTTTAAAAAAATAAAGTTAAAAATTAAAAAAAAAAAAAAAATTGAAACAACCTAATTCTGTGGCAGCCTAGACCTGTGCTTGTGTTTATTACAGCTCAGACTGCAGCTACAGAAAAAGTGGAAGGCTCTTGGGTAAGGGCCCAGTGTGTGAGCAGTTGAAAGGAAAATGAAAACTTAAAAGTGAGGTGATGGTGAAACTCCAGAGAGCAGAGCATGGTTTGATCCAGGAAATGATATTCTCGTGCTCTGTCTTATGCTGTAGCTGCTCCACACCATGGAGCACAGGACAGAGGTGCTCCTCAGCTTCACACTGATGTAAGGACTCTGGTGGGAGAGCCTCCAGAAGTGAAGCCAGAGCCACTTCATGTCTCCCAGAAAAAGAGATTAAAAAGATTTTGTTCGACAGGACACGTTTCCTCACTCCAAATACCTCTTTCCCCCGTTTCTCCCCCTGCCCTGCATGGTCTGGGGGATGTTTCATCTCTCTCACATCCTGCAGAACTTTCCATACAGACAGGAGGGAAATCTACCCTCGAAGCCCCTCTAAGTACAAACTGAAATAAAGCAAATATCCAGACACAACAGTTTCCTTGTTATTCCCCACCCCTCCTATTTGAGCCTAAATAGCTGAGATATTTCACAAAATATGTCAGAACTTGGGTAAGAAACTGATCTTGTATGGGAAAAAGAGAGAAGAAAGAATAAAAGCTCAATCACAAGAATGTCAGAAACATGGTTTTACTTGATTCATGCAGTTACTCCCTTTTTGTCATCATATTCCCAGTAAAAAAAAAAAGCAAAAACCAAAACAAAACAAGAAAACAAACCCACAAATTATGTGGATATAGTGCTTTTGGACAAACAAAGCAGCATGTGTGGTCCCTGCAGCCTGGCTGCCAGGGCATTAGGAAGGCTGAAATTCTCTCTTTGGGAAATTAATCCACCTTTTGATGTTTTTCCTCTCTCAATAAAATCTGTTTAGGGAGATGATCGTATGAAGCTCCCAAGCCCAAATGACAGCAAGTTCTTCCAAAATCTTCTTGATGAGGAAGACCTGGAAGATATGATGGATGCTGAAGAATATCTTGTTCCTCAAGCCTTCAACATTCCTCCTCCCATCTACACCTCCAGGACAAGAATTGATTCCAACAGGGTAAGAGCAAGCTCTGACAGAAAATATTGGTTATTATAAAAGCACAGGTGGAGATTTAAGCACACCAATGAAACACAGGCCAGCACTGCCTTGGGAATTACAAGCCCCCATTGTGAGGAGAGTGGCTATAAAAATGTTGTCACTGGGCTCCCTGTTCATTGTGCCTCGCTGAATTCTAAATTAATAGCCCAGCCTTGAGTGAACAAAGGCTCAGCTTGAGCTGCCTGTCCTGAAAGCACAGCTGAGGCTCCTGAAGTCCAGCAGCGCTGTGTCTGCGCTGTGCTGTGCCCAGGAAGTCCACAGCCCTGGTGCTGCCATCCTGCTGTCTTGGCAGGGCTGCCACTGATGTGGCTGAGGGGCAGCTGGAGTATGCAGATAATGTAGCTTTTGTGTCTGGAGCCAGATTTTCTAGCCAGCCCCTTTTCCTGTTGGCAGGCGATGCTTTGGTACCCCCTCTTCCCAAATGTGTTTGTGCTGAGCACATGGCAGCTGTTGGCAGGCTGATCCTTGCACCCTCCCTGGCAGGGAGGAGATGCTCTTCATTGCACAGGGGGACCTGAGGCACAGAGAGTGCTCAGGGGGGATCCAGCTGACACAACTCCAGCCCTCTAAGGGATTGGGACACCACCTAAGAGTTCCTCAGAGTTCATTTTGTGTTACTGGAGCAGTGTGGGTGAACATTGCTGCCCACCCTGGGGCATTTCCAGTAGGGTAAATCACTTTCTGGAGGTGTCTTTCTCTATCCACTAACTCCTGTCAGCTGCAGAGCAGTCTCAGCCCTGCTGTGTGAGCTCTGGGGTGTTGATCCCTGTCCCACATGGCTGTGCCCTGCTGCAGCTGAGGAGCCAGGTCAGATGTGTCTGGAATCAGCTTTCCCTCCTCAACAGGTCTGACCTCTGCCTCTTCCTGTGCCTGGCTCCAGCCTTTTCACAGTTCAGTTTCCATCCCTCTCACACAGCTGAGAGGTGGTGAAAGCATTACTAATGTGAGGGCATTCACAGGGGCAATCAGGTGTGTTTTAACTAGGGCCTAGTTAGTCCCTTTGAAATGCTGGTGTTTATTCCTCACAGTTTAGAACCTTTTGGACAGTTATCCGTGGCTGAGGTAGTTCCAAATTCATAGCCAGGTGTGAACTGATTATTAGCATGTGAGATGGGAGAGGTGAGTGAGAAGTGGATAATCTGAGCCAGGAGCCATGCTCTGGCCATACCCCACAGGGAGCTCCTTACCCTCTCCAGAGGAAATCAGTGCTTTCTGGCAATAAAAAAGACAAAATCTGATCCTAATAGTCACTTTGGAAGGAAACTGTTGCTGTTTTAAAGGCGAGGAAACTGGAGATGTCTGGATTCATGTAGCATTTATCCTGCATCACTGAAAGTGAATGATTTAGCAATAAGTGAGAAACTTTCTTTTTGTGGCTCCAAGAGTTAATTGATGGTGATCTGAGATGAGTCAGGTTTACCACTATCTGTCTCTGGATAGATTTCCTTTCCTGCTAAGTTCTGAGGAAGGGGAGGACAGCAGCTACTTTTGGCAGGTACTCACTGTCACAGGGATGTAAATCCCTGGAGCTTGGTTTGACACAGTGGAGCGCTGCCATTTACACCAACACAGGGCTCAGAGGCCAGGGCCTGGCATTTTGGGTAAATTCATCTCACTCCCATATTTGCTGGAAACACTGGGACACATATAAAGGAGAAAAGCTTAGTAGAAAAATGCCCTTGTTTTTTCAACAGCTCCTTTTGCCCTCTGCCTTTGGTACCAGCCCAGTAGAGGAGCCCCAGTAGATTCCCCCAGTAGAGCTGAGGGAATTCCCATAAAAATCCTGGAGCTAATATTCTGGAAGATTCATTTACAACGTGGTCACTGGGATATTCATGGAATGAAAACACAGGCATTTATTTTTATTATCATTAGTGCTGGTGTTATTATATGAAAATGCAAATAACTATCATTAGTGCTGGTGTTATTATATGAAAATGCAAATAACTTTCACAAAGCCTTTTCCCAACTTCAAAGCACACCGTTTCAGCTGCTTGCACACGTGTGATTTCCTTGAAATCAGCAGAGCTGCAGAAAGAGACCCCAAGCCTTATTTTTGCCATACAGAGAGACTCCATCACATTCCTAACGTGACACCTCCTTTCCTCAGCTCACAATTTCCCATCTTGGTTTGAAACTGTGATCTTGTACCACTAAAGACAGTGGGAGCTTTGTTTTGCAATTCAATTTAACGACAGTAGGAAGACTCTATCCTCTTCACAGTAACTCCTTTTGCTGGGAATTTTTCTCTGGCATTGTACAACAGTCTAACATTTAAACAAATCTGGAATCACCCTTTGCCAAAAGTTTTCAGTTTGTGAGCCAAGTTGTCTGACCCAGATGAGACAGAGAGGTCAGAGAGGGCCAAGCTGGAAGCCCTGCACCATCGTAGCACTCCTGCTTTCCTGTGCAGACAGGTGTTTTCTGGAGGTAATGCATGAATGCAGAATATATACATATTTTCTGTTGCCTTTGTGCAGCACTCGGTTTCTTGTCACATTAACTGTTTATTTAGTGAAGATTGATTTAAAAATGACACAGTTGCTCCTTTAAGGTGCATCTGCTGTGCATAGTTCAGTACAGATGGATGTCAGCTGCAGGAATCACACGGAACTGAAATGCTGTCAGAGCTCCCTATCTGCACTTGTCTGGCTCTGCCTAGGTGTTTCCTTTGGATAGTCTGTGGTTTGTGCTTGTTTGGCAGAGTGCATGTTGATGCACAAACCCATCAGAGTGCTGCTGCAGCCATGGACACCGAAGGAATGGACACAGCTCACAGCTGTGCTCACTCTGGCTGGCAAACTGCATTGCCTGGTGAAGAAAAACACACAGCTAAGAGCCACATGATCTCCAGGCCATTTTCAGGGCTAAGAAGCATGAAAGATCCTTTACCTCAGCTGCTCCAGTGGCAGTGTTAGTGGCCAAGGAGTCAGGCAGGGCACTGTGCTCCTTCTCTGCTGGCAGCGTTGGTTCACTGCTCCAGCAGCACGGCGCCATGGGGACAGAAGAGGGCAGGAAGAAAGCAAGGAGATCATGAACCTTCTTACACATAGGCTTTGAAGTCAAGGAATGAAGAACAGGAGCATTTACTTTCTCAGGGAAGCCCTGAAGTTCCCCTGTGGCAGTGGCAGGTCTGAGTCCCTGCAGCCTCTTGGTGGGAGAGGCACCGCTGGAGGAGGTTTGTGTAAAACACTCCTGCCCACGGGAAGAAAAGAGCCATTTGGATGTGCATCAGCACCACAGATGCTGGGTAGAAGATTGGAGAGAGGGAAGGCTTCTGGGAAGCTGCCAGCTCCCCAGGAAGCCTCACACCCTTCTTCCTCCAGGGCTTACAGAGCTTCATGAAGCTGCAAGGCTCAGACACAGCTTTTCCATCACATCCACACTGGCTCCCTGCTGGCACATCCTTGGGACCTACCTGTGCTGCTGGGAGCCCTGCACAGGCTCTGACCCTTAACAGTGGCCTCTGTTGTGAAGTCCACTCTGAGACTGCTGCAGCTTTTAAATAAAAGTTCCCATCCTAAGCTAAATTGAATTATTTCATTTGATCTGAAACTCTTCAGTTGCAATTTTGTCTCTGGCTTTTTCCAGTTTTTATTTTCCACTGTCTAGAGACACTCCAGAAAACCAGAGTTTGAGAAGCTCAGTGCTTCTGAGAGATAAGCTGAATCCTGGGCAGTGTTTCCAGGAGCACAGGACCCCAGCTAGCACTCGAGTGTCCTGCATTCACATCCATTAGATGATTCATTCAGCTATTTGTAATGAGTGCTGTCCTGTGTGTGCAGAGATAATGCTAATACAGCAAGCACTCTCTGTGCCCCACCATGCTTTCTGCTCTAAATCCTTGGCTAATTCCTGATGAAGACTGTCTATGCTGTTTATTACTCATGGATTCTGTCCTTGTAATTTTGTTCCATACACTTTATATCATGGAAACACCTGCCGACCCTGCAATTAAATATCAAGCCATTTTTTTTCAGAGATGTCTAATCCATATGTCCATGGAGACTATCCTGCTTGGCTGAAGCAGACTGTGGGACACTGGAAGCCAATTTTCAGTTCTCTGAGCAGTATCTTGGGTCTGGTAATGCAGCATCCTTGTCCCTTGGCAAAGCCAGGAGGGAGTCATGGTTTGAGCATGATTCCTCTTGTGTGGCAGCACCTGCTCCCCATTTCTTTTCCTCTTATACAAGGCAATTAATTGTTCCTGCCCAAGTCATTTCTCCAGGTATGTCCTGGCCCCATGGGACTGATGGCAATAAAACTGCTTCATCTTAAAATTAATCCAAAATCTATGTGAAGAGAATTCCAGCCTATGTGGAGCCATTAAAAGCATTTTGTCCAAACTTCTGGCACAGCACAGACAAGAGTCTCTTGTCTCTTAATTTCTGCATCAAGTGCAGAAATTCTATTTGGGGTGGAGTTTATCTTTTAGAAAGATTGTCTTGATTGTATCAGGTGGGATGGAAAATACATCCGAGTTTCACTGGGCAATTAATGCTGACTCTTTAGCAGGGTTTGGATTCTGCTCCTGCCTGCCATGAACTTTTTTGTGCTAGATTTAAGGAGCTGCCAGCTACAAGAAATCTTTGGTTATCATGGTGTGATTCTTGGGGTGTCTTGTGCAGGGCCATGAGCTGCACTCAGTGATCCTTGTGAGTCCCTTCCAGTTCAGGATATTCTGTGATTCTCTGATTCTTCTGCTTAAAAGCCTAAACAGGATATTACTATTTGTGTGTGTTTGCTGTTAAGTGATGACAACACAGATGTCTTTTTTTTTTAAATCTGTTTGTGGTGTTTGCCACCTTTCTGCTTCTGAAGTATCTTCCCTAAAAAATAATATGACCAAATCCTCCCCTAAATTTGATACCTCTTAGGGCAGTCTGTCAGTTTGTGGTCTTTAATTATTTCTAATTAATAGAAATTTTTCTTTAATTGCTGCTCCTTAAAAGGTGATC